TAAATGTGCGGTCAATGACAGGCAAAGGTAGAGAGCTGGCTGACATGATGCAGAGAAGAAAGGTAGATGTTTTATGTGGCCAAGAGACCAAGTTGAATGGCAGCATGGCTCGCAACTTTGGAGCAGGGTTCAAACTGTTTTATCATGGTGTGGATAGAAAGAGGAATGGATTTGTAGTAGTGGTGAAGAGAGTGTCAAATAGGGTGATGTGCTTGAAGGTAGAAGGTAGAAGTAGAAGGTCTGATGCTAAATATCGTCAGTGGTTATGCTCCACAGGTTGGATGTGATGGGGAGGAGAAAGATACATTTTGGAAAGATCTGGATGAAGTGATAGAGAGTATTCCCAGGGAGGAAAGAGTGGTGATCGGACAACATCCCAGTGGCTTTTAAACCCCAAAATACATTACGGCAAAGACTGGTTCATCCCAAAGATCCAGTCCCCCGGCACAAACAGAGTAATATTGCGTATGCTGTTCAGTGTCAGGAGGGCTGTGATCAGTCTTACATCGGGGAAACTAAACAGCCACTGGCCAAAAGGATGGACCAGCACAGAAGATCAACATCATCAGGCCAGGACTCTGCGGTCTACACTCATCTCCAGGCCAGCGGTCATTCTTTCAGGGATCAAGATGTTCACATCCTTGATAGAGAGGAACAATGGTTTGAGAGAGGAGTAAAGGAGGCCATCTTTGTGAAAAAAAAAAAAAACACGTCCATCATTAAACAGGGGTGGAGGCCTCCGTGTTCAACTGTCCCCCTCTTACAATGCTGTGATTGCTAGTATCACTCAGCCCCCTGTGAATAGTAAACAGCCATCAGTGTGCTAATGATCCATTGTTAGACTGATGGTCCTTCTTGATCATGTGAGCAGCTGGTTTTGGTTGTCAGCAGCAAAACTGGTTGATCCACTCTGAGAAGGTACTATTTATAACACTGAGCTGAATACAGCACCTCAGACTGAAGAAGTCTTTCGAATGAAAGACGAAACTTTTCTACAATGTTTTTGTTGTTGTTTTGCTTTGTTTTGTTTTTTGAATGTCCAGAGGACCAGATTTAACTTTTTTTTTTTTTTTTTCTACCTGGATTATTGAGCATGCATCAGGATACTATGACAAAGTAAAACCTGAAAATGAAATGATCAGACTGTAATGCATATTATATTTCTACACTGTTTTTACGACACTACGACACACTTTGACACAAACACATAATTTTTATATTACCGTATTTATTTAATGTTAGTCCTGTGAACATGCACTCAGATGCTGCCCTATGAAATCAAAGTTCATGCTCAATAATCCACGTAAAGGTTCGAAACGTTTCAACACAAAACAGAAACCGTACAGAGGACCTGACTTAACTTTATTGCTCTATGAAATGTTTTTGTAAATAGCTGGACGGTGCGGCGATTACACACAGCTTCAGCTAGCTTCAGCTACCTATTTGCCACTTGTACTTACCAGGAGTAACTCTGGAATCAGCCTCGTTATTGCTGGTTTCGGACGTCAAAGTGGAAGGTTTATTGCTCCATAGAGGTTCTTCTAAAGATGCCTCTGTACTCTGTAACTTCAGGGAACGCTGGTTTATAAAAACATTCAAAAAGTGTAGCTTGTTTTCTCTTCATATTGACTAAACATTGAAAATAATCTAACTGTTGCTGCGAATGTTTCTGCTCCCGCTGCTACTTCCCCAGCCAATCACAGGAGCAGCTGAATAACAAACCAATCAGAGCAGAGCTGTGGAGGCGCTCGGCCAATGGCTGTGAGCCTCACAGGAGGCACCGAGCTCTTACCCACCTGGAGCAACATGGAAGCACTGTGAGGATCATGTTCTTTGATTTCTCCAGTGCTTTCAACACCATCCAGCCAGGACTTCTCAGGGACAAGCTGGAGCTATCAGGAGTGGATCACCACATGTCCCAGTGGATACTGGATTCCCTCACTGGACGCACACAGTATGTGAGGACACAGGTTTGTTTAAGTAAAACTGTGTTTTGTCCCGATGTGAAGAACAAACTCCATGCTGCATTTGCAAACTCTGCTGCTCCAACAGAACCGGACCTTCAACTCTCCACCAGCTTGCTTTTGACCCGCCTTCCTGTTGGTAATTGGTCAAGACAACGCGAGCTTCAATGCGATTGGATGTAATCCTTGTTGAGGCGGACCCTGTCTCGCTCTCAAGCTGGAAAGACGGCCCTCGGCCAGAGTGATCTGTGTGTGTGTGTGTGTTCATAGACGCTGATGACATATATGCGTGTGTGTATGTATATATGTATACACATATAGTATATGTGCCTATCAGCTTTGCAAGGTGCTGGCCGACATCTTTAATTCCTCACTCATCTAACAACAGTTCCCACCTGCCTGAAAACTGCAACCATCATCCCAGTCCCAAAGAGCCTTAGGGTGACTGGTCTTAATGACCATCAGCCAGTAGCCCTCACCCCGATAGTTGCTAAATGCTTCAAAAGACTGGTCATGACCCATATCAAAACAAACATCAACGAGGACCCTCACCAGTACACATACCGTGAGAATTGATCAACAGAAGATGCCTTCTCTTCTGTGGTCCACACTGCTCTCACCCACCTGGAGCTGAAGGACTCTTATTTTACGTATGCTCTTTGTGGACTTCACGTCTTCCTTCAACACCATGATCCCCAAAACCCTGATGGACAAACTATTCACACTAGGACTAAGACCTTCCATTTGCAACTGGGTCCTGGACTTCTTAACAAACAGATCACAGTCTGTGAGGCTCCACAACTTCTCCTCCATAACCCTCAGCACTGGCTCCCCTCAGGGCTGTGTACTGAGCCGTCTCCTGCTCACTCTGCTCACGTATTGTGCACCTACCCATCCAGGCTGTCATATTGTAAAGTTTGCAGATGATACAGCGGTGGTTGGATGCATCACAAACAATGATGAGTCCAGCTACAGGCAGGAAGTGGAACAGCTGGAGAGCTGGTGTAGGAAGAACAACCTTTACATCAATGTGAAGAAGACAAAGGAGATAGCCGTGGAATTCAGACGGAACAATGAATATTCATGAATCTCTAACCACGATAATCACTGTGGAAAAAAATCACATCATGTTGCTGCTGATTTATTTCATGTTGCTGTGTTAATTCGTGCTCATCTGCTCACACAGACATGTTCGTGCTGCTGTTCGGCGTATTGTTTTTTTGCTACTATTGCCTAGCGTATTTTTAGTTAACGTTTTTCTTAGTTCATATCTTAGATCTTATTACTGTTTTTCTTTTACTATTTATACTTTTGTTGGATGTAACTGGGACCCTGTGTACATAATTTCATTCCACCACATGTACCACATGTGGCGCATATGACAAATAA